AATATTCAACAATAACAACAGGGATTGCAGTGCTCAATATTATTATTATATCAGGTCAGCGAATAAAGGTATTACAGGATATCGTGTACGGCATAATTTTTTGTATATTGTATCAATTTACTGGGCCATATTGCGCATTAAAAAGTCAGGGACAACTATCTAAGACAAGCTGGTAAATCAATCCACCTGGATAGATAAGATTTTGTTCGAATTCTTAACCCCGGAGAGTTAACCACCCAGGGTAGGGAGTGATAGCCTCCCAGGATAACCCAGGGTAGGGAGTGATAGCCTCCCATGATAACCCAGGGTAGGGAGTGATAGCCTCCCAGGATAACCCAGGGTAGGGAGTGATAGCCTCCCAGGATAACCCAGGGTAGGGAGTGATAGCCTCCCATGATAACCCAGGGTAGGGAGTGATAGCCTCCCAGGATAACCCAGGGTAGGGAGTGATAGCCTCCCAGGATAACCCAGGGTAGGGAGTGATAGCCTCCCAGGATAACCCAGGGTAGGGAGTGATAGCCTCCCATGATAACCCAGGGTAGGGAGTGATAGCCTCCCAGGATAACCCAGGGTAGGGAGTGATAGCCTCCCAGGATAACCCAGGGTAGGGAGTGATAGCCTCCCATGATAACCCAGGGTAGGGAGTGATAGCCTCCCAGGATAACCCAGGGTAGGGAGTGATAGCCTCCCAGGATAACCCAGGGTAGGGAGTGATAGCCTCCCAGGATAACCCAGGGTAGGGAGTGATAGCCTCCCATGATAACCCAGGGTAGGGAGTGATAGCCTCCCAGGATAACCCAGGGTAGGGAGTGATAGCCTCCCAGGATAACCCAGGGTAGGGAGTGATAGCCTCCCAGGATAACCCAGGGTAGGGAGTGATAGCCTCCCATGATAACCCAGGGTAGGGAGTGATAGCCTCCCATGATAACCCAGGGTAGGGAGTGATAGCCTCCCATGATAATCCAGGGTAGGGAGTGATAGCCTCCCATGATAACCCAGGGTAGGGAGTGATAGCCTCCCATGATAACCCAGGGTAGGGAGTGATAGCCTCCCATGATAACCCAGGGTAGGGAGTGATAGCCTCCCATGATAACCCAGGGTAGGGAGTGATAGCCTCCCAGGATAACCCAGGGTAGGGAGTGATAGCCTCCCATGATAACCCAGGGTAGGGAGTGATAGCCTCCCAGGATAACCCAGGGTAGGGAGTGATAGCCTCCCATGATAACCCAGGGTAGGGAGTGATAGCCTCCCAGGATAACCCAGGGTAGGGAGTGATAGTCTCCCATGATAACCCAGGGTAGGGAGTGATAGCCTCCCATGATAACCCAGGGTAGGGAGTGATAGCCTCCCATGATAACCCAGGGTAGGGAGTGATAGCCTCCCATGATAACCCAGGGTAGGGAGTGATAGCCTCTCATGATAATCCAGGGTAGGGAGTGATAGCCTCCCATGATAACCCAGGGTAGGGAGTGATAGCCTCCCATGATAACCCAGGGTAGGGAGTGATAGCCTCCCATGATAACCCAGGGTAGGGAGTGATAGCCTCCCAGGATAAACCCAGGGTAGGGAGTGATAGCCTCCCATGATAACCCAGGGTAGGGAGTGATAGCCTCCCAGGATAACCCAGGGTAGGGAGTGATAGCCTCCCATGATAACCCAGGGTAGGGAGTGATAGCCTCCCAGGATAACCCAGGGTAGGGAGTGATAGCCTCCCATGATAACCCAGGGTAGGGAGTGATAGCCTCCCATGATAACCCAGGGTAGGGAGTGATAGCCTCCCATGTTAACCCAGGGTAGGGAGTGATAGCCTCCCAGGATAACCCAGGGTAGGGAGTGATAGCCTCCCATGATAACCCAGGGTAGGGAGTGATAGCCTCCCATGATAACCCAGGGTAGGGAGTGATAGCCTCCCATGATAACCCAGGGTAGGGAGTGATAGCCTCCCATGATAACCCAGGGTAGGGAGTGATAGCCTCCCAGGATAACCCAGGGTAGGGAGTGATATCCTCCCATGATAACCCAGGGTAGGGAGTGATAGCCTCCCATGATAACCCAGGGTAGGGAGTGATAGCCTCCCATGATAACTCAGGGTAGGGAGTGATAGCCTCCCAGGATAACCCTGGGTAGGGAGTGATAGCCTCCCATGATAACCCAGGGTAGGGAGTGATAGCCTCCCAGGATAACCCAGGGTAGGGAGTGATAGCCTCCCAGGATAACCCAGGGTAGGGAGTGATAGCCTCCCATGATAACCCAGGGTAGGGAGTGATAGCCTCCCAGGATAACCCAGGGTAGGGAGTGATAGCCTCCCATGATAACCCAGGGTAGGGAGTGATAGCCTCCCATGATAACCCAGGGTAGGGAGTGATAGCCTCCCATGATAACCCAGGGTAGGGAGTGATAGCCTCCCATGATAACCCAGGGTAGGGAGTGATAGCCTCCCAGGATAACCCAGGTTAGGGAGTGATAGCCTCCCAGGATAACCCAGGGTAGGGAGTGATAGCCTCCCATGATAACCCAGGGTAGGGAGTGATAGCCTCCCATGATAACCCAGGGTAGGGAGTGATAGCCTCCCATGATAACCCAGGGTAGGGAGTGATAGCCTCCCATGATAACCCAGGGTAGGGAGTGATAGCCTCCCATGATAACCCAGGGTAGGGAGTGATAGCCTCCCATGATAACCCAGGGTAGGGAGTGATAGCCTCCCAGGATAACCCAGGGTAGGGAGTGATAGCCTCCCATGATAACCCAGGGTAGGGAGTGATAGCCTCCCATGATAACCCAGGGTAGGGAGTGATAGCCTCCCATGATAACCCAGGGTAGGGAGTGATAGCCTCCCATGATAACCCAGGGTAGGGAGTGATAGCCTCCCAGGATAACCCAGGTTAGGGAGTGATAGCCTCCCAGGATAACCCAGGGTAGGGAGTGATAGCCTCCCATGATAACCCAGGGTAGGGAGTGATAGCCTCCCATGATAACCCAGGGTAGGGAGTGATAGCCTCCCATGATAACCCAGGGTAGGGAGTGATAGCCTCCCAGTATAACCCAGGGTAGGGAGTGATAGCCTCCCAGGGTAGGGAGTGATAGTCTCCCAGGATAACGCAGGGTAGGGAGTGACAGTCTCCCAGGATAACCCAGGGTAGGGAGTGATAGTCTCCCAGGGTAGGGAGTGATAGTCTCCCAGGATAACCCAGGGTAGGGAGTGATAGCCTCCCAGGATAACCCAGAGTAGGGAGTGATAGCCTCCCAGGATAACCCAGGGTAAGGAGTGATAGCCTCCCAGGATAACCCAGGGTAGGGAGTGATAGCCTCCCAGGATAACCCAGGGTAGGGAGTGATAGCCTCCCAGGATAACCCAGGGTAGGGAGTGATAGCCTCACAGGATAACCCAGGGTAGGGAGTGATAGCCTCCCAGGATAACCCAGGGTAGGGAGTGATAGCCTCCCAGTATAACCCAGGTCACAGACCGGGCCACAGGGGTGTTGACCCCCGGAACTCTCTCCAGGTAAACTCCAGGTATATATCCTTGGTTAGGCCTTATTTAGATTATGCTGCACAGTTCTGGTCACCATATTACTGAATGGAAATAAATGCAGTGGAAAACATACAGAGGAGGATGACAAAGTTGATCTCATGTATCAGAAATCTTCCCTATGAGGATAGACTGATGGCCCTGAATCTGCACTCTCTAGAAAGGCGTAGAATTAGGGGGGATATGATTGAGGTGTATAAATGGAAAACGGGAATAAATAAAGGGGATGTAAATAGCATGCTGAAAATATCCAGCCAAGACAGGACTTGCAGCAACGGTTTCAAGTTGGAAAAGTTCAGATTCAGGGAGGACTAAGGAAAGCACTGGTTTGGTAATAGAGTTATGGATGAATGGAACAAACTCCTGAGTACCGTCATAGAAGCTAAGAGCTTGTGTAGTTTTAAAAATAGGTTCGATAAATACATGAGTGAGTGTGGGTGAGTGTGAGTTGGACCTGACTAGCTTGGGCTACCAGGTTTGGTGCTGTGCTCCTTAATTGGAAGTGACCTGACTAGGTGGTCATTGTTCTAGGCCGGGGGGGGGGGTGGCATGGACCTGCTTTGCATGGGTCAGCAGGCCTGTTGCAGTGTTCCTTCTTTCTTATGTTCTTATGTTCTTATTCATGGAGTTGTTTTCCACAAATACAGGATACAAAGTTGAGAAGAAAATTCGCAAGACTTTGCCAAAGTTAGTGCAGCTCTTTCAGTCCCTCAAAGTTTTGCTGGACCCCTCAGATCACTCAGGCTGTGCAAGGAAAATGAACAACTGTTACCATCACAAGAGATTCACTCACTCAATAACCTGAAAGCTTTAAAGACAGGTGAAAGAAAATAAAATATAATTTTATGTCAAAAACTAGAGTACCAGAAAGTTAAGACAAGTGAACACAATACTCACACACAGTGAAATAAATAATCACAAAAGTTGTGAGAAATTGTGTGGGTAAATTTTACAGTTAGTGTCCGGAATTAACATTTCACCCCCATAATTGTGAAGAGACTCTGGTACATCAAACTGTTTAGACTTACTGATATTGATGTACCTCAGAGTGAAGTGGGAGTTTAAGGTCACCAGGTCACAATAATATCCCTCCTTCATGCCCACCTTCTCAGCTCACCATATCTCTCATGTCTGGACCTTAAATTATTATTAGAACATATAGTTCTTAAAATTATTTGAAAAATTATGCCAGTAACACTGACAAAGTAGTATATGTGGACTGTATATATTTTGTAATATCAGTTACTTGACCTGAGTAATTTGCTGGAGTAATTTTACATAAATATAAATCAAATACGTGCATGATTAGAAATAGTACCAAGAACATTTCAATATTACTCGCCAAGTTAAGATTTTGGTGTTATATCCTAATGCCTCCCTTTTGGTAGGCAATTCATATTGGCCAATACAGATTAACATACCTGTAGTGAAAATTAATACACTGGGAGGCATACATTACATGTAGTGTGAACTTCATCAGTTTCTGATGACACCTCTTATATTACACCTTAGTTTATTGCATTTAAAGATTCAGCCAATTTCCATATCTTTGAGAGAGCTAACACCATCTCTCAGGACAGTCACCCGGGCAGCACTGCCTTGCCATGTACAACCCACTTACACAATCATTTGGAAGCACCCACTCGTTTCCTCACAGGTATGTTGGTAATTTGTGACTAACATTAATGCAGTGGTACCTTGGGATACGAACTTAATTCGTTCCAGAAGGCTGTTCGAGTGCCGTTACTGAACGAATTTGTTCCCATAAGGAATGATGTAACTTAGATTAATCCATTTCAGACCCCCAAAAATACAATTACAAAAGCACTTACATAAATACACTTACATAATTGTTCAAGTTTTGAACTGTTCACATCCCGAGGTACCACTGTACATCGTATTTACAGTAACACTTCACATTTACATTACATTATATGTATTAACATTTCACATTTACATTACTAATTATAGGAAAATTATAAAAAATAATTCCACAAAAGTCTTAGGTCAACAAATCACCTACTACCCCAGAGTGTATTGAAGGTGATAGGGGGCACTGAGAGCGACATTCCTCTGAAACTAATGCTTCAACATTCAAATAACCCACACCTCAGTCATACTTCCATGCACATACATTTATGTACAGATAAGTGAAACTTCCCCTCTCAGTAATTTTGTGCGATACAGCAGAATATATTTTGTATAAAACTCTTCTATCTAGTTTACAATTTTAAAGAGCCATATCCTGAAAGTGAATATATTATCTGAAACCTGTGTTGAATATGGGAGAAGGTACTTCGACAGATTTTTTTTTCTATGTGCTGTAAGTTAAAGCTTGCATATTCTTATGTATTATTTTGGTATCTTATTTTTTTTATAATTTCAGGTAGCCAAAATGGAGGAAGAATTTGAAAGTAGAGTGTGGGATGATGCACCTGACACAGATCCTCTGGTAAGACGAGATCAATTACAAATTATACTACTGTACTGTGGTTACCAGTATTGGGATTCAAGGACTTGATATTTACTGGTAACTCTATATGTATCTGAATGTAATTCATTTTACTAAATGTGTATTCTTAATGTACGACTTCATAAAAATGCATACAATATTTACTCTTTCCTTAGCAATTTACAGTGTAATTTTTTTTGTAATATGAAATATTGACATTTATTTTTCAATTGGCAGGAAGAAGATGAAGCTATGAGTCCAGCTGATGTGCAGTCCAACTGCTTGAGGCAGTTCTCAAGCACAGACTTTATCATGGAGCCTGGGATTTTTTCTACACTAAAGAGGTCAGTACAAGAGCCAGAATGATGTTCTTGATATCAAAATACATTTCAAAATGTTGATAGTACCATTCAGTGATTATTTGTTAATACAACCTCTTGTTGTTTACCGATGACTTGTACTTATGACGGGCTCTCTGACCAGTATGCATACCTAAATAATGTATATTAGAGCTGATTTCCTCTATTCTGGTTATTACAATATACAGTGAGATTAAGACACATGTGCAACATCTGGGTATCTTTAGACGTTTCGCCATCCCGTGGCTTTATCAATACAAATTCTAGGACATAACTTGAAGACAGTAGAACTATGTACAGAAGATGAGGTAATCAGTCCCTCAACCTAGGAGTAGGTGCGAAGAGCACCATAGTCGTGGAGATTCTGAAGCAGAAGGAGCCTGCCGCTTATATAGTAACGTCAGGTGTAGCAGACGAGGGCATATTCACTGGTAGGCGGGATTCCCCAGTGGAAGTAGGTCCTTCCCAAAGAGATGGGTTAGTTGTAGTAGTAGTTGTCGTAGTCGTGAAGGTTATGTACATGTCCTCAGAATTAAGATTCCATGATGTTGCAGTGTCTGACAAGTTGTGTAAGAATGGTATATAATACCGACAAGATGAGATTAAGACACATGTGCAACATCTGGGTATCTTTATTGTAGACGTTTCGCCATCCAGTGGCTTTATCAATACAAATTCTAGGACATAACTTGAAGACAGTAGAACTATGTACAGAAGATGAGGTAATCAGTCCCTCAACCTAGAGATACCCAGATGTTGCACATGTGTCTTAATCTCATCTTGTCGGTATTATATACCATTCTTGCACAACAATATACAGTACACTACTGTATAAACATTTAAAAATATACCAGAAATGTTATAACTAGTGCAAAGGTGACATTAAAACAATATCAAAGATGGTTGATACAAACCCACTACCATTGTAGTATGCATCTCGTTAAGTGAGGAGAGGCTGTACTTCTTTTATTGGGGGTATATGACCAGGGTCACTTCTCATTCAATTTTTGTCAAAAATGTAAATCTTTCATTTTCTGGCTTGTGTTTCTACATAAAATGTGCATCAACAGGAGTGCACACAAAAAATTTAATGTTCATATTATTGTGGTTATAGTAGTAGGTTGGTACACAGCAGCCACCCAGGGAGGTACTACTGTTCTGCCAAATGAGTGTAAGACAGAAACCTGTATTTGTAAAGGAGGGGTTTGGAATATTGCTGTTTGGAGTGACCTCTGAACTGTCATATGAGCGCCTCTGCAAAGACAGTCATGTGTGAATGATGGTGAAAGCGTTCCTTTTTTTGGGTAACTCAGCCTTAGTGGGAGATGGCTGACATTTTGAAAAAAAAAAAAAATTATTGTGGTATAGTATTTGTTATTGATAATTTTTTTTTTTTCAACAAGTCGGCCGTCTCCCACCGAGGCAGGGTGACCCAAAAAGAAAGAAAATCCCCAAAAAGAAAATACCTTCATCATCATTCAACACTTTCACCACACTCACACATTATCACTGTTTTTGCAGAGGTGCTCAGAATACAACAGTTTAGAAGCATACACATATAAAGATACACAACATATCCCTCCAAACTGCCAATATCCCAAACCCCTCCTTTAAAGTGCAGGCATTGTACTTCAAATTTCCAAAACTCAAGTCCGACTATATGAAAATAACCGGTTTCCCTGAATCCCTTCACTAAATATTACCCTGCTCACACTCCAACAGATCGTCAGGTCCCAAGTACCATTCGTCTCCATTCACTCCTATCTAACATGCTCACGCACGCTTGCTGGAAGTCCAAGCCCCTTGCCTACAAAACCTCCTTTACCCCCTCTCTCCAACCCTTTCGAGGACGACCCCTACCCCGCCTTCCTTCCCCTATAGATTTATATGCTTTCCATGTCATTCTACTTTGATCCATTCTCTCTAAATGACCAAACCACCTCAACAACCCCTCTTCTGCCCTCTGACTAATACTTTTATTAATTTTTTTTTTTTATTATCACACTGGCCGATTCCCACCAAGGCAGGGTGGCCCGAAAAAGAAAAACTTTCACCATCATTCACTCCATCACTGTCTTGCCAGAAGGGTGCTTTATACTACAGTTTTTAAACTGCAACATTAACGCCCCTCCTTCAGAGTGCAGGCACTGTACTTCCCATCTCCAGGACTCAAGTCCGGCCTGCCGGTTTCCCTGAACCCCTTCATAAATGTTACTTTGCTCACACTCCAACAGCATGTCAAGCATTAAAAACCATTTGTCTCCATTCACTCCTATCAAACACGCTCACGCATGCCTGCTGGAAGTCCAAGCCCCTCGCACACAAAACCTCCTTTTACCCCCTCCCTCCAACCTTTCCTAGGCCGACCCCTACCCCGCCTTCCTTCCACTACAGACTGATACACTCTTGAAGTTATTCTGTTTCGCTCCATTCTCTCCACATGTCCGAACCACCTCAACAACCCTTCCTCAGCCCTCTGGACAACAGTTTTGGTAATCCTGCACCTCGTCCTAACTTCCAAACTACGAATTCTCTGCATTATATTCACACCACACATTGCTCTCAGACATGACATCTCCACTGCCTCCAGCCTTCTCCTCGCTGCAACATTCACACCCTCCACACCTTTTCCTAATTTCCACACTCCGAATTTTCTGCATAATATTTACACCACACATTGCCCTTAAACAGGACATCTCCACTGCCTCCAACCATCTCCTCACTGCTGCATTTACCACCCAAGCTTCACACCCATATAAGAGTGTTGGTACTATACTTTCATACATTCCCTTCTTTGCCTCCATAGATAACGTTTTTTGACTCCACATATACCTCACTGCACCACTCACCTTTTTTTCTCATCAATTCTATGATTAACCTCATCCTTCATAAATGCATCCGCCGACACGTCAACTCCCAAGTATCTGAAAACATTCACTTCTTCCATACTCCTCCTCCCCAATTTGATATCCAATTTTTCTTTATCTAAATCATTTGATACCCTCATCACCTTACTCTTTTCTATGTTCACTTTCAACTTTCTACCTTTACACACATTCCCAAACTCATCCTATAACCTTTGCAATTTTTCTTTAGAATCTCCCATAAGCACAGTATCATCAGCAAAAAGTAACTGTGTCAATTCCCATTTTGAATTTTGTTTCCCAAAAAAATTTAATCCCCCCCCCCTCTCCCCGAACACCCTAGCATTTATTCCTTTTAAAAACCCCCATAAAATATTAACCCCTTCAGGGTCGTCCGTAGATCTACGGTTTACAGTGATGTCCAAACCGTGATCTCGCCATGAGCTCATATTTGTAAACTGGAGGGGAATTTGGGCTAGATATGAAGAAAACATTATGTGGTATGTGGCCCACAAAAAAACAGACCCTGCAGCACACTGTGTTAATGAGAGAAAAAATGAAATCATGATTTTTCGTTTAAAACAGAACTTTGCAGTTTTTTTCGTTGTTTTTATAGTTGTTTTGCGATTTCTTGGTTTTCATTTGATAGAATGGAAGACATATTACAGAAATAGAGATGATTTTTATTGGTTTTTTTCATGGAAAGGTTGAACTGAGCTCAAAGTAGCGGAAATGTTAAATTTTTGCCGAATTCAAAAGTAAACAAACGACCTCCATCTAATACACGTCAGCTGGTGGGTCTAAATACATTCACAATATGGTAATGATATTTATTTCAATTATTCAGTATTGCATAACAGTAAAACTTTTATTTTTTTTGGGTGAATTTAAAAAAACTTTAAAGTAATAAAAAATCAAAATGGAATTTATTTTAAAGCCTCAAAACATAACTAATGAACAGAGGGAAATGTTAGTTTAGTGCCAGGAATGCCTACATTGTTTTTTCTGGACCCTTTTTTGGGAAATTGGAATTTTTTGAACTTTGTGTTAAATTGGCCAAATTAACAATTTCCGATCACTTTATTTTGTAGTTGAAAACAGTTGACTTGGCGATTTCTTGTGCTCAATCGATAGAATAGAAGTAATACTAGTGAAATAGCTAAGAATTTGGTTGATTGGAATAATGTAATTGGCCTAAAATAGGAGTCAAAGTCGGCAAAATCGCCAATTCATAAATATCGCTGACACATCAAAATTCGCGAGAGCATAATTTCGTCAATTTTCCACCAAATTTCGTACTTTTTGTTTTATTACCTTCACAAAAAGATTCTCTACGATTTCATAAGAAAAAATAACAAATTTTTTTTTTGAAAATTCTTGCACACTGGTGCGTGACTCCAGATTTGGGCCTTGGACCCTGAAAGGGTTAAACAACCATTACACATCCCTGTCTAAGACCTACTTTTACCGGGAAGTAGTCTCCCTCTCTTCTACACACCCTAACCTGAGCCTCACTATCCTCATAAAAACTCTTTACAGCATTTAATAACTTACCACCTATTCCATATACTTGCAACATCTGCCACATTGCTCCTCTATCCACTCTATCATATGCCTTTTCTAAATCCATAAATGCAATAAAAACTTCCCTACCTTTATCTAAATACTGTTCACATATATGCTTCAATGTAAACACTTGATCTACACATCCCCTACCCACTCTGAAACCTCCTTGCTCATCCGCAATCCTACATTCTGTCTTACCTCTAATTCTTTCAATTATAACCCTACCGTACACTTTTCCTGGTATACTCAGTAAACTTTTTCCTCTATAGTTTTTACAGTCTCTTTTGTCCCCTTTCCCTTTATATAAAGGGACTATACATGCTCTCCGCCAATCCCTAGGTACCTTCCCCTCTTTCATACATTTATTAAACAAAAGTACCAACCACTCCAACACTATATCCCCCCCTGCTTTTAACATTTCTGTCATGATCCCATCAGTTCCAGCTGCTTTACCCCCTTTCATTCTACGCAATGCCTCACATACCTCCCCCACACTTACATTCTGCTCTTCTTCACTCCTAAAAAATGGTATACCTCCCTGACCAGTGCATGAAATTACTGCCTCTCTTTCTTCCTTAACACTTAAAAGTTCCTCAAAATATTCGAGCCATCTACCTAATACCTCCATCTCCCCATCTACTAACTCCCCTACTCTGTTTTTAACTGACAGATCCATACTTTCCCTAGGCTTTCTTAACTTGTTTAACTCACTCCAAATTTTTTTCTTATTTTCATTAAAATTTGATAATTATGTGTAATAATTAATTTTTTACCAAAATATGCATCTACATGATGATTGTGATTACAGATGTTTAAGTTCTGCAAAGAGTGAAAGAAAAATATAGTTAAATCAAATCATTCTTTCAATAACTAACATTTTATTTGAATATCAGAAATAAAATTTTAATTTGATAAAGCTAATATTTGATAAAAGCAAAATGTGAGGCTTAATGTGAGTGTTTCTAAATCCTTCCAGTTTTATTAGTTAAATAAGAGATCTAATTTCTCAAATGGTACACAGTAACTTGATGGTGACAGATTATAGGAGTAATTACAGTCTATAATCTTTTCTCAAGAGGGCCTCTTCTGCCTTTCTAAGCCAGTAATTACTATGCTGCATCTGCAGAATGTTAGTCTTTGTAAACCAAAATGGATTATTTTTATTTTCAGATACTTTCAGGCAGGTGGTAATCCTGAGCAAGTGATTGAGATGCTCTCAGAAAACTACCAAGCTGTTGCACAGATGGCCAACTTGATGGCTGAGTGGCTGATCTTGGCAGGTATTTATCGGGAGTCTGCATTATCCATACAGTGCACTTTATATTTGTACTAAATCCTTTCATAAAGTGAAAGTGCATATCAATATTGTCTAAATACCATTGATCATGTGTGTCTTTTTTTTTTTTTTTTTTGCATAGCACTTAAAAAATCTTTGAAAGTATACTCTATTAGCATGAATGTATCAAGTTACATGCAAAATCTTTGTAACCTGTACCATAGATATTCCCCCCTTTGACTTAAGCACAAAGGTCTGATAGCTTACAGTAAGCAGTGCATGTGTGATGCAGATTGCCAGCACTTTTTGTCAGATAGACTCCAGACATTGAGAAGAAAATAAGAGCTTATGCATTGAGTAGTGCAGAAATATTACTGAATGTGTGGGGTAAAGAGGAAAGAGGAGTGATTTGTGGAATGATGAAGTAAAGGGTGTGATAAAAGAGAAAAAAGTAGCTTATGAGAGGTTTTTACAAAGCAGAAGTGTTATAAGAAGAGTAGAGTATATGGAGAATAAAAGAAAGGTGAAGAGATTGGTGAGAGAGTGCAAAAGGAGAGCAGATGATAGAGTGGGAGAGGCACTCAAATTTTAATGAAAATAAGAGAAAATTTTGGAGTGAGTTAAACAAGTTAAAAAAGCCTAGTGAACGAATGGATTTGTCAGTTAAAAACAGAGTAGGGGAGTTAGTAGATGGGGAGCTGGAGGTATTGGGTAGATGGCGAGAATATTTTGAGGAACTTGTAAATGTTGAGGAAGAAAGGGAGGCGGTAATTTCATGCACTGGCCAGGGAGGTATACCATCTTTTAGGAGTGAAGAAGAGCAGGATGTGAGTGGGGGAGATGCATGAGGCATTTCATAGAATGAAAGGGAGTAAAGCAGCTGGAACTGATGGGATCATGACAGAAATGTTAAAAGCAAGGGGGGATATAGTGTTGGAGTGGTTGGTATTTTTGTTTAATGTATGAAAGAGGGGAAGGTACCTAGGGATTGGCGGAGAGCATGTATAGTCCCTTTATATATAGGGAAGGGGGACAAAAGAGATTGTAAAAATTATAGAGGAATAAGTTTACTGAGTATTCCAGGAAAAGTGTATGGTACGGTTATTATTGAAAGAATTAGAGGTAAGACAGAATGTAGGATTACGAATGAGCAAAGAGGTTTTAGAGTGAGTAGGGGATGTGTAGATCAAGTGTTTACATTGAAGCATATATGTGAACAGTATTTAGATAAAGGTAGGGAAGTTTTTATTGCATTTATGGATTTAGAAAAGGCATATGATAGAGTGGATAGGGGAGTAATGTGGCAGATGTTGCAAGTATATGGAATAGGTGGCAAGTTACTAAATGCTATAAAGAGTTTTTATGAGGATAGTGAGGCTCAGGTTAGGGTGTGTAGAAGAGAGGGAGACTACTTCCTGGTAAAAGTAGGTCTTAGACAGGGATGTGTAATGTCACCATGGTTGTTTAATATATTTATAGATGGGGTTGTAAAAGAAGTAAATGCTAGGGTGTTCGGGTGAGGGGTGGGAGTAAATTATGGGGAATGCAGTAGCGAGGAGGCAGTTGGAGGCAGTGGAGATGTCCTGTCTAAGGGCAATGTGTGCTGTAAATATTATGCAGAAAATTCGAAGTGTGGTAAATAAGAGAAGGTGTGGAGTTACTAAAAGTATTAGTCAGAGGGCTGAAGAGGGGTTGTTGAGGTGGTTTTTTCATTTAGAGAGAATGGATCAAAGTAGAGTGACATGGAGAGCGTATAAATCTGTAGGGGAAGGAAGGCAGGGTAGGGGTAGTCCTCGAAAAGGATGGAGGGAGGGAGTAAAGGAGGTTTTGTGGGCAAGGGGCTTGGACTTCCAGCAAGCGTGCGTGAATGTGTTAGATAAGAGTGAATGGAGACGAATGGTATTTGGGACCTGACGAGCTGTTGGAGTGTGAGGAGGGCAATATTTAGTGAAGGGATTCAGGGAAACCTGTTGTTTTTATATAAGTAGACTTGAGTCCTGGAAATGGGAAGTACAATGCCTGCACTTTAAAGGAGGGGTTTGGGATATTGGCAGTTTGGAGGGATATGTTGTGTATCTTTGTACGTATATGCTTCTGAACTGTTGTATTCTGAGCACCTCTGCAAAAACAGTGATTATGTGTGAGTGAGGTGAAAGTGTTGAATGATGATGAAAGTATTTTCTTTTTGGGGATTTTCTTTTTTTTTGGGTCACTCTGCCTCGGTGGGAGACAGCCACCTTGTTAAAAAAAAAAAAATGTGGGGTAAGAAGATACCAAAGAAAGTGGTCTTGCTTAGTAGTCAAATAATAAGCCACAAACCAGGTAAATTTCCCTGTTGACTTTATGCAAATTATTTCTGAGCATGGTTACACTCTCCACCAAATGTTTAATGATCATGAGACAGGTCTATTTTGGAAGTTTATGCCATCAAAAACATACATTAGAAGATAAAAATGTAGCTGGTTTCAAGGCAGCTGAGGATCACTGAAACTTATTTCTCTACACAAATGCAGTAGATGATTTCAAGTGCAAGCCTATGTTAGTTTAACATTCAGAGAATCCCTATACTGTACTTTAAAAGATATAAACAAAACCAATTTGCCTGTTATTTGGTGGTCCAACAAGGAAGCATAGATGACTGAGGCCCATTTTGTTGATTTTATTCCTGAAGTCAAGATGTACCTGGCCAGAGAGAACATTGTATTGAAAGTTCTCCTAATAATTCCCATAGTTATCTTAACCCTTTCAGGGTCCGTGCTGTAGATCTACGGCTTTACATTCAGGGTCCAAACCGTAGATCTACGCCATGAGCTCAGCTCACTCTGATAAGCTGTGAGCAGTAAATTTGGGCCTAGATATGAGAGAATACATCTATGTGGTATGTGTGCACCACATAAAACTAATTCTGCAGCACACTGTGCATAATGAGATAAAAAAAATGAGACCGCAATTTTTTATTAAAACAGCGACTTTGCAGTGTTTTTTCGTATGTTTTTTATAGTTATATTTGCAATTTCTTGGTCGCATTTGATAGAATGGAAGATTTACTATAGAAATAGAGATGATTTTGATTGGTTTTAGTACTGGAAATGGCTTGAAACTGAGCTCAAAATAGCAGATATGTTAAATTTTTGCCGATGCTCAAGAGTAAACAAATGACCTCACAAGTCTAATACATGATAGCTGGTGGGTCTAATATATATTCACAAATGTGGTGATATTATTTATACAATTATTACAGTATTGCATAACAGTAAATCTTCTATTTTTTGGTTTGAATAAAAATTCATTATGTGAATAAAAAATCAAAATGGAATTCATTTGTAAAGTCTGAAAACTTAACTAATGAACAGAGGAAATGTTAATTTAGTGCCAGGAATGCCTGCATTGTTTATTCTGGACCCTGTTTTGAAATTGGAATATTTTGAACTTTGCATTAAATTGGCCAAATTAACAATTTCCGGTCACTTTATTTTGTTGTTGAAACAGTTGACTTGGTGATTTCTTGTGCTCAATCGATAGAATAAAAGTAATACTAGTGAAATAGCTAAGAATTTGGTTGACTGGAATACTGTAATTGCCCTAAAATGGGAGTCAAAGTCGGCAAAATCGCCAATGCGTAAATATCACCGACACATCAAAATTCGCGAGAGCATAATTTTGTCAATTTTTCATCAAATTTTGTACTTTTTGTTTTATTCCTTCAGAAAAAGATTCTCTAAGCTTTTTCACCCTGAAATGTGTACCTCTTCAGTACAGGAAAGACTGTGCTATAACTTAAATTGCCAGGCATACCATCTAAAGGGGACAAAAAGATACAAAACATCCAGGCCATGGGAAAACCTGGGTAGCCACAGCCACTCAAGAGGGAGAGGTTTTTTAGTGCCAGGAAGGAAAAAAAACTGGCAGGAAATGGCAGAAATCGTACACCAAATCCAGTCATTCCTGGAGTGGAACCACAGTCGATGGCCTCCACTCCAAACCAACAGATACAGATAATAATGCCGGAAAAAAAAATCCCCCCCCAGTACCAACAATACCACCAGTCCGATAACATTCTTCTTTGCAAATATACAGGGTCTAAAGCCAGCAACAAACAACAAAATACCTTTCATCCGTGGACTGCTTGCAGAGGCAAAGGCAATGTTCGCGGCTTTCACTGAGACCCACATAAAGGATCACTTGGACAATGAAATATGGATCCCAGGTTACAACCTATACAGATGTGACAGAGTGAACAGGCAAAAGGGGGGGGTTGGCCTGTACATTGCAGAGTCACTTGTTTGCACAGAACTGCTTAATGCCTCAAATGACGTAGTGGAAGTTTTAGCAGTAAAGGTCGAGAACCAAAACCTAGTCATTGTGGTAGTCTACAAGCCTCCGGATGCAACATCCCAGCAATTCCAGGAACAGCTGTTAAAAATTGACCACTGTCTGGAAAATCTTCCAGCTCCTGCACCCAACATCTTGCTCCTGGGGGATTTCAACTTAAGGCACCTAAAATGGAGGAATATAGCAAATAATATTGTTGCAGTAATAACACCAGGAGGCAGCTCTGATGAAAACTCACACTCACACGAGCTTTTAAATCTCTGCACAAAATTCAATTTAAACCAGCAAATAATAGAGCCTACTAGACTGGAGAATACACTAGACCTCATATTCACTAACAATGATGATCTGATAAGAAATGTCACCATATCAAAAACTATATACTCAGATCACAACATAATTGAGGTTCAGACATGTATGCGAGGAGCCCCAGACCGACAAAATGAGACTAGTCACGAGGGAGCATTCACCAAATTCAACTTCAATAACAAAAACATAAAGTGGGACCAAGTAAACCAAGTCCTAACCGATATAAGCTGGGAAGATATACTAAGCAACACAGACCCAAACTTATGCCTAGAACAGATTAACTCAGTGGCACTCGATGTATGCACAAGGCTTATTCCTCTAAGAAAAAGGAGGAGTAGATGTAAAATAGAAAGAGACAGGCGC